CCAGAATGGTCAAATTTGTGGGGCTCACAAAAAACTCACCACTGTGAGACAACAAATAATGCTACATGTAAGCTCAAATTTTAGCTGAGGCTCTGCTGATTTAGTGGGGTGTCAACAGACTTGATGTATCTTCAAAAGTTACTCAGTTAGATCCTGGAGAAAACTTTCATTAATGAACTATTGTTTTTATTGTATAACACTCAAACTACTAAAGATATCAAGGTGATTCTAAATGTTAGGGGCAGGTTTTCATGATCAAGGAGTCATGTTATGAGGGTCAAACCATGATGGGAATAGTACTTTTATGTGTAATAGCATTATGAGGGCAGTGTTCTGCACTCTCTGAGTGCTGTCTAGTTCCATGTAAATTACTGTTTGTGACAGTTCTTTACAGTTTCTATGGCAAGGAGAAAAGGTTAAAATGAAAATAAGCAAACTGCAACTATAGAAAGAGTATGGACAACTAAGGGTCCCAAACTTGCATCTCTATTATAAGGTCATACAGTTGTGATAGATAGATTGCAAATATCAATTTTAGTGCAGTAGTACTCCACAAATACTGCACATGTTATTTATTGTAACAAAGATCTAATGATATGCACAAAGAGAGTGGACAGAGAGGGATAATGGACCAATAATGATACAGAAAGCTGATAGATACAGAGAAAAATGATGGATAGCTGTAAATGGGGAGATAGAGAGATATAGACATAAATGAGAGAGAGGGAGCGTAAAGGGGATTGAGTGATATCTTCCGTGTCTCTCTTTCTTCTTTCCAGTTTAGAAAATTTACTGGTGGTCCATCAGTTCGCAGAGTAGAGTGTGATCTGTGTGTTTAAATGTTATTTTTACTTCTGTCATTCTCAAGGTGAATGCATCTGAAAAGTGTCAGATAATTTTTAATACAGGTGTTGAATAACAATAATCATATAAACTGAAAAGGTTAATTAATTTTATCTAATGTTGTTGTGCTTGGGGGTCTTCAAACTGATTTAACCTATGTACTGTACGTTATAGTTGGTTTGTAGTAAATAATGTAGTAAGAATAAATGTATAAATGATGTTAATCAAGTTTTATTATATATTTTTCTAGGGGTTTTAATGTTAGGAGAGTATAGAAAATGGTGTACAGGTGTAAAACTGTGGTATTATTTTGTGTACACATTTATTTTGGAATTTATGTATGTTCGCTGTTTGCAGTGAAACAATGTTTTCCCGTTTAGAGTGACATGAGGCAGCACTATTAAGCTAAAGAATAAAACTAAACAAGGTAAGTTATATGCATATTGCATTGTCATCATTTGTAGTAATCTTTATTCTCATTTTCTAAGCCTTTAATGGTATCCAAAGTATTGGCTTGCCTTTTTTCAGCAACTATTCATTTGAAGAGTTTTGAAAAACTGAAGATGTAAAAGATAATGGTGTCTTGTGTAAACTGAAGAAATGTTTTATTAGACTGTAAACATTTTATGAGTGTGTTAATCTTCTCAGTGAAGAGGCTTATAACTAACATTTCATTGCTGCATTTCTTTTCTTTGCTGTGCAGGTATTTGTGATTGAGAGACACATATTTTAACTTATAAGGGGTTACCAGAGAATCTTTAAAGGTACATATTGCTTTTAATTTTGATAACAGTATATTGTGGCATTGGGGGTGAAGAAACATTTAATGGGGTTCCCCAGAATGCCTGAGGGGGAAGCACCTGGTGGGATGCCTCATAATACCTCATTGGGCAGGATGTATATAGTTTGGGTTTTGACATGGATTGTGTGTGTTAGTGTTTGGAATGTTGAGAGAGAAAAAGACAATCTCTGGTCTCTCAACCCTTCTTCCCAGCAAAAACATTACAGTTGGTGTCAGAAGTGGAATCATTGTGCAGAGACGATGGTATCGCTCTAAGAGCTTAACAGCTGGAGGTAATGCTACAAAACTGAGTTGGTGTCCCAGTAGCTGCACCGAGACTGCCAGCTACCCTGTTCTCAGTGAGAGCCCACCAGGAGAAAGCTGCAGATGGAGACCTCAGTCCCTGGTTGGTGGACTGGCAAAGCTGCACTAAATCATTACCAGCCATGCTTCACCATGGGCTGACGGCAGCTTGCTGGCTAGCTTATCCAGCACTGCAAATGGTTTCACCCACACCGAGGGCTGCAGGACCAGCCACCTTCCTGACAGTGGCCCACCCTAGAGACATCTCAGACCTGGGAGCTGGCCATTAAGAGACCATAAAACTGCCATGCTACAACATGGATGAGCCACTAGAGACATACCTTATGCAAGCGCAGCTAGCACTGAATGCCTGGCCTCCCGAGGAGGTGGCTGTCTGTGTTGCCCTGGCCTGGGGAACAACTCAACTGGCCAGCCATGGAGAGAGTGCTGCAGCATAGGTTTGGCTGGTGGGTCCATGCTGGTGATGCCCAGGACAAGCTTGGCAGCCTTTGGCCCAGAGAATGAGAGACTCTGGGTGCCTATGCTGCCAACATTTGTGTCTATACATGGTGTGAGTATTCAACATTCAAAAACACCATGCTGGAAAAGCTCCAGTTTTTCATCTGAAGGCTCCTGCCAGAGAGGTTCCAACATCCACCCTGAGAGCAGCTCTGACTGAAGCAGAGTGAGTTGAGCACATGCTCTAATCCCGCAGGGTGAAGCACTGGGTGTGGCAGATGGACCTGGAGGAGACCATCGCTACCACCACCACAGCGAAGAAGCATGAATGCAGCAGGGCAGTGCAGAGGGGGGTTAAAGGCCCTGTTAAACTAGGACAGGACAGTACCAGGAGGGGGCACTACCACCAGCCAGAGAGTCTGCCATGTCGTCAGCCAGAGGGTCAGCCACATTGCTACTGTCAGCCAGAGGATCCACCACATTACCAGCCAGAGGGCCAGCCACATCACTGCCATCGCTGCTGCCTCCACCCGCCAAGAGGCCAGCCACGCCACTGCCAGCCAGCCAAGGGGCCAGTCATATCACTGTCACCAGCCGAGGGGCCAGTTGCATTGCCACCACCAATCAGAGGGTCTACCACATTGCTGCCACTCAACGGGGACCATCCACACCACCACCAGCCAGCCAGGGAGCTAACCATATCCCTGCCACCAGCTGTGGGGCCAGCCACGTCTCCGCCAGTCAGAGGGGCATCTATCAAAACCAGGCAAGCCATCAACAACCTGTTCCTGAGGACCTGCGCAGGCTTGGAGGCAGGCCAGTGATGACAGCTGAGGGAGCTGCTGGAGGCATTTGTTGACATCTTCACGGCCAGAGACGAGGACTGGTGCAGCATGACACTCACACTGGCAATGCACACCCTGTCCACCTGTGGCACCTGCCACTTGCCAAACAAGCCACCGACAAGCACAAAATTTGAGATATGGTGTCATTGAGTTCTTCAGCAGCCCCTGGGCAGTGGGCACTGGTCCAGAAAGCAGCACCTGGAGATTATGCATTGACTCTCACCTGCTCAATGAAGTCACCCACAAAAACTCTTAACCATTGCCATGTACTGATGACACCCTGGACTACATTGCTGGATCCCACTGTTTCAGCTCCATTGATCTGATTAGTGGCTACTGGGAGGTGGGGTTGGCACCAGATGCACAACCCAAGACCGCTTTCTCCATCAGCCAGGGCCTGTGGCAGTTCAAGGCAATGCCCTTTGGCCTCTGCAATGGCCCAGCCACCACTGAGTGTCTCATAGAGTGGGTCCTGACTGATATCCCCCAGAGCCGGTGTGTGGTCTACTTGGACAACCTTCTCATCAGCTACAAGCGGCAGAGCTACTTTATCTGCAAATTTTAACGGACAAGTTGTCATTTGCCAATATGGAATAATGTGTAAGATACTGCAAGTACTATAATGTAGGCCTAACTTCAATCAGGTTACTTCAGCTGGAATACTGACAAAATACAAACATACAGCTAAAGCAGCTTTATGTCTGTGATTTATTATCATTTAACTACTTTGTGTAATTAAAATAGATTGTAAGCTCGTGATGAGATTTGAGACAAAATATTAATGTAACTACAGTCACACTAGGTGGAAGCTTATATTTTCCTGTGTTCGGCAGACCTATGAGCTATAGCCTAAAGCACCTATAATAATCCATCACTGAAAATATGGAGGAAACTGCTCATTTTCTTGACATGTCCATGCAGAGGTCACAGCTCTAATAACACTCCACACCAGAGGAGTGAAATGTAGACTGACATTTTTGACAACCCAGTAAAATTGCATAGACTATTAAATACTGAAATCCATATTTATTTGTTGAAGTTGCCTCACAAAGAAGCTCACAAATTGTTTTGATGAGGCAGTTTTTCACAGAAGCATCTTTGACTGTCACAAGTAGCTATATTCTCAAAATGACACTATCAACAAAACCTGAGCAGTAAAGTAGCTGCTACTTACTGCTGTTTAATTTTCATTATATATATATCAAATTATATTTCTGTTTTTCATTTTCCTCTCAACTAATTAGCAGCCAACAGAGAGTGAGACTGCAATATACACTGTACAATATAATAGTAAATACAAGCCTAGACATGTTTCCTTTCCTTTCTTCATTCGTTGAGGTCTGAGCTGACAACAGAATTTGTGTTAACACCCATCTCTTGGAGAGAGCACCATGTCCACTGACATAGATGTCCTTTTATGGACTTTGGCAGATGAGTAATCCCCATAATCACTGTACGATCACCATATATAGAAATATAGCTTCAGATATATGGCCTGAAGACCTAATATGTCATCACACGCAAATGTATCATATCATTTCTACTCCCTAACATGAGTGCTGCACATCTTAGAGTGAGTGACAGCAAACACGTTGATTTTTCCTGCTGTCAATAATGCCTCTAACATTATCAGGGCATGTGCAGGGTATTTTTATGTATCACGGCTCATGAGCTGCATTCATGTGTTATTTTGTGGGCTAATTAATGTGCATGGATTTAAGTGTCAGAGCAATGATCCTCAAGGACCGGCTGGAGTGCATGAGCACAATACTGGTCATTGTGTGGAAAGTTGTTATGGGAGGTGAGGGGCGGTAACAGTGGCTGCTGAACTGAAAGCTACAGAAGTGCTGCTGAAAAGATGGTGTTTAACAAGTTATATTATGGTTATGTGTTGACTCTCACAGCGCTTGGTCTCAGCCTCCACATACACAAACCAATCTATTCTTAGGATGTCTGCTAGTCTTAAGCTCATTCCACAGACTCTATTGGGTTACAGGTACATTAACTAAGATTTCACACCATGGCCTGATAAAACAAGTGAAAATGGGAGAGGACATGGTGTCTCTCATCTATCCTACCCCCAGCATGACAGTCTGTGATTTTAAGCCCTTCTGTTGTTGTTCCAGCTTCTCTACCATGTTGTCAAAATCAGGTTAATAAATTAACCCTTCACAGAGGATTCACAAATATACTCATTAGTCAGACAACACTACTTTCAGACTGCAGGTTGTGTCTTGTGCAGTTTGTGACAACCAGACATCTGCTGTTTACATTTGCAAAGAAACAGGAAGTAATTTACTCAATTAATTGATTTAAATTTGTCTGTTGCAAGTTCTTTATCTGTGTTTTTTGTTGTATTGTTTTCTGATTTTGTAAAGCACCTTGTAACTTCAATTTAGAAATGCGCTATACAAATAAAATTTTACTTACTGTCTTTACTTTTACAACTAAATCACTTGCTTTTTCTTGCCACTGTATTTGACGATCTTACCTCAGATTCCATCCATCCATTTATTTTCCTCTGCTTATCCGGGACCGGGTCGCGGGCAGCAGTCAAAGATGCCCAGACTTCCCTCTCTCCAGACACTTCCTCCAGCTCCTCCGGGGGAATGCTGAGGCGTTCCCAGGCCAGCCGAGAGACC